TCAATCATATAAAGACAAGTACTTTATGAACCCATTACTGTGAAAAGAAAAACAAGGGTTTGCTTAGGAAAGGGAACTCACTTGGTAGGTTACTGGGATGTGGAAGGAAGGGAAGGGATTAATTTTGGGCTAGTTGGGGCCCACACACTGATATGGATAAGGGGAGGGATATATGGAGGGTTTGTGACCACCATGATAACATTAGGAAATGGAAGGATACCGAATTGTGCACATAACAGATAGATGACAGGTGCCAATACCAACCAATGTGTCCACAATACTGCATTACCATTAACACCAAACACCAGGCTACAGATGAACACATACAAACCTGAAAGGATCAAATGGGGGTCAGTGAACAGGAGTATATGCTAGATCAAGGATAGATTCACCTGAGGCTAATCTTGCACAGGCACCAGTGATACAAAATACCTGCAATCCTTACAGAAACAATAGAAGACAGACACAGAGTAATCCCTCACAGACACCCAGACACTATGGGAGAGAGATCCAATAGATCTACCATCTCAGGACCATAGTACTGGCGGACACCAGATTCAATTGGCACAACAAAATACATAAAAAGCCTTGTTCCGCGTCCTACATTGGTGAGTAGTGACTGGGGTCTTAAAAGCTTTCAAGTGGCTAATGGTCTCCTAGCATCGGAAGCGAAAAAGAATGCAAAAAAAAACAAGGACATTTGGAAGCAATCAGCCTAAGGACACGATGGCCCTGGAGACTAGAAAAACTAGATGGTGCCTGGCAACCAATGCCAACCACTCAGGAAAGGATCAAATCTGGAGATCCTGAATAGAGTGGGAAGAAAAACGTGGAACAAAATCCAAAACCTCAATAATGACCAGAATTACTGGTCAGATGGAGTCTGGTGAGAACCCCAATATTATGGCTCTGGAATACATTCTGCACCCAGAATAAAACTCACTCCCAGGGGCTGGCTCTCAGCCCAATAGTTAACAAGATGTACATGCAGACCACTCAACCCAGGATGATGCACCGGAATACTCTATGGTAGTGCATCTCTTGGAGCGATAGACCACCAGGCACCAGAGGACCAACATTCGATTTGAGGAAGTGCAGGACAAACAGAAGTGAATAACTATGAGGGGCACAGGGGGAGGGTTACTGGGTAGGGAGGGGAGGAGACTGGGTTAGGGTTGGGCATGGTAAATGGGGAGTGAAACTAAATGTACATGTAACGTTGAATGTAAAACAAGCTCTTAAAATAATAAATAAAGAAATAAATAAGGGCAGGGACTTAAAAAACCTGTGGAGTAGTAGTCTTATTCTGCACACATGGAGTTTCTATGACTCAGAATTGACTTGACGGCAAGTGTCAATGTTTATCATATTTTTTGCTTGTGCTTTTGTATTCAGGTTTGTTGTAGGGCACTGGAACCTGAGGGCCAGACCCAGGAGTTAACACTTTGACCTTCACAACCACTTCAGATATTTACTTCAGAGATTGAGGTCTGATTTAGTCATGACCCCCAACATGTTAGTATATACTATTTAGAGAGAATATTAGAGCAATTTATTTGTAGATTCCATTATTAAGGGAATCTTCTTTCTTTTTACTTAAAAATAACTCTTTAAGAAAATATATTGGTTTCTACTTAAAATTTTAGGGGCATTTAAATGTGTTTTTATTTCCCCATTGTTTTATTTTAATGTGTGGGTCTTGGTGAAGAAAGGGCTAAAAAGAGTAGAATCATGAACCCTGCTTATAAAACTTCTATATATTTCTTCTTTTTTTTTAAAAAAAGGTACATGTAGATTTTTTTTTCTTTTTGCGTAGATTTATAAGTCCATAAATTTATTTTAGA